GGAAAAGTACGTTTTCGCCTACAGTTTGAGGAAGATCTCACATAGTTCTCATTGAATGTTGCAATAGATATGAAGCATGCTTTATACGGTAAAGGCAGTTTTAACAAATTAACGGATACGATGTTCTATGAATGAACATCAGAAAATTGTAAAAAATCTCATAATTAAAATTTTTTAAACCGAAAGATACCCTTTCTTTAAGTATAAAATTTAAAGAAGGTATAATTTTCTACCAAAAGAGTACAAGAAATAAATTTTCCTGCATGTTTTCCAAAAATTATATCTGAATCTATAAAGGCAATCAAAATCAATGACAAAAGGCATACTATTAAGTAGCTACTTTTTATAGCACATACTTTTACTTAGCGGTCAGAAAGAAGCTCGTTAAAAATCCGGCGTCCTGATGTGACCAAAATTTATTGAGATTAAGCTGTACGATCGTCATTTTTAAAATCATAGGTAATTAATATGTTTGAATAGAGAATGCATTTCAGAAGTCCGGTTGACGTTTCATGAGATAAGGAATCTACTGTACCCTGAAAATAATGAAATATTTAAGCAGTTTTTGACCAGCTGACCTAGGTATATAATCTTTCTTGTTATCAACATGTTATTCCGGCACTGCATTTTTCGAAAAATCACTTTTGGGAATACACACCTCTGCATGGTCAGCTGATTCCGTTGAGGCTAACTTTAGCTGAGTTTCGTGCGTATTCAAGCAGACGTGTTAACACCTGGCACCTCTTAGTGAAGGACTTGTGCTGAGTACAAATTACTGTGAATTTTTTTCCTTCAAGGTACGTATCCTATGGTGTAGTGCCATACGTTGTCTCGAAATCAGCTGCACTTAGTGTTTCCGCCTCCATATGCTCAAGTTTGTTCACAAGAATCAGCTTAAAATGCGTGTGATTCACAGTGGAAGAGTTAACAAAGCATCTGTTATTGCAGCCGCAGAAAGTACCTTCGTTCTGAAGGCTCGGTGTCAAATTTAAGCAGGTGAATTCGGTCTCAACTAAAATCACCTCTTCCTCTTGCGCCGTTGGATGATCATGGATAAGTCAAAATGTCCACCCAAGCTTTCCTTAATTGTTACGCCTAAGCTTGCGGTCTATCTTTGCAATCAACAGACGCTGCGGATGTGATTGCATAGCTTTTTAGTCTCAAATAAAATGTTGGCGGTCCCTGAAATCGCTACATTTACTTAATTATTGTTGTATGCATTTATTGCTAGTCATCTTCACGAATTCGTGCATAGGTCTACGAATACGGTCGGCATTTTGGCTCACGAAGCTGTGGAGGGATTTTATTAATGTAATCAAGTGAAAACAGAGCAACTGAATGCAGACGTTCTCTGAGAAGTCCTTCAAAAGAAATATTCGAGAAGAAGTGCAACATGGATAGCTCGGCAATAAGATAAAGCAAAAAGCAATATGCCTAATATTGTGGGCCAGAAACGTGTCCACCCTGTTGACAGTGGGAAAGAGCAGTCTTACCTTTGCACTTCGGCAGAGGTTAACAGCGTCCCCCCACTTGTTTCTTGAAACGTAGCCGTTGAGACAAGCCGGATAGGGAGATATAGAAAAGGATACCAATCCACCGTCGGCCCGCCGCAAAGTAATGTGGTTGCCACGGAAATTATGTAGACAGGCGTACTTTCCGCACTCATCTCTGTGTGCGATGAGCATGATTTTGGAGAGAAATAACATAAAAGTCTGAATTAGTGTAGCGAGCTAATGGATTTCTAATAGTTGCACTAGCCGTTCTCGAATTAAATTGGAAAATAATGAAGATGACAGAAAGGATATTCTCGCTCTAAGTAAATATTATGCGGTAAGGATGAAATATATGGCCCCTTAAACAGGACCTGAGAGCAAGAACCGCCCGCGATAGGCGTGTTTTCGCGCCAACTTCCAGGGAAAATAGGATTAGATTTATGGTTAGGGCCAACTTAAGACTTCAATTGAGAGTTAAGGTTGGCCATGAGTAAGTTAGGGGTAAGTTTAGGGCTACTGTTTACTGTGGGCTTGGGATTTAAGGAGGGTAAGAATGTAGATAAGGTCTACAATGCAGGTTTATCTGAGGGCTATTGTTTGGACTAGGAATATTTAGCTTTCCTGGAAGAATGTTCTGGTTTTGGATGTTATATAAATGACCATCACTACTTGTTCTGCAGATTATATTAAATGAAACTAGATAACCAAAACGAAGAGAGTACCCACTCACATGCCTGGAAGTTTATACTCATAGCAGGTGCTTTTCCCTGTTCATCGGCTTTTGCTGTACTTATATTTTTACTTTAAATTTGTGGGACAAGAGCAAGCCTACCCTTTTTTAATAATATCCAAGGACAGATGAGAACAACTGTTGCCGAAAATAACCATGTGGAAAGTCTTACCAAATTTACTGGAATGAAAAAATTCACTGATGTTTATGGTTTTCAGGTACGTACAAGAGTATCCAAGTAAAAGTGACGTGGTGACCAGATAACAGTTTAATCGGTTGTCCCAAACACCCGGTTTCGATCTCCATAGTTTTCCGTTCATGTTTTCAATAAGATTAAGCTATAAGGAAATCGCTTATGGTATAGTCTTCGGAGTACAAACTCTGTTTAGAGCGCTGAATCATGCCGCCCGAGCTAGGTCGTGCGTGTCCAGGCACAAGCCCTGCGAGAGCTCGAAGCTAGTAAACGCGCGCCATTTCACTTATGGGTGCAGGCAACAGAGGACTTGCTGTGGTCAAGCATTCCAACAGCGGACACTGATACAATCGGCCCGAAGAGAAGATTAGTAGAAAGTCCTTGCAAAGCCCCGTGTAAGCTCGTGTTCGCAGTTAAAGCTTTTCCTTTCTTAACAGTCTTCCCTGACTTTTGAGTTAGGAAGCCTTCGTGTTTTTGTTTGCACCGCCTCAAAATGGCATGCAAGCAATCCACCTACCAATTATTACCTCACATAAGGTGAATGCGTGTGACACTCACCATGATCCAGCAGAAGTATTTGGCACACCATGGCTGAACTGAGAATCTGAACAACAAGCCCGCGGCCAACATTCCTTAGAAGGCGACCTGGACCAAGACTATCCAACCTTCACAATGGGTAAACTGTTCACCATAGATGCGCGCCTGAACTAACGTCTCCTTTTCCTGTTATGATATCACAAAATAGCACCTTCACTAACATCCATAAAAAGGCTCTTTCAGTGATTTTCTGATTACGTCCATTGGTAGGGAGGGAACGCTTTTTGAAAAACAGTGTCCTGTGAGATGCACCCAAAACTGAAATCAACAGGTCAATGTCCTGGTCAGTGTAGTAGCTGTTGTCTATTCTACAGTACCAGCCAGCATAGAGTTCAACTGGAATCAAAATGCAGGTAAAATATACGTTTAAAGAGCACCACTGTCGTCCACGAAGGCTGCATCTGTCCCATCTGCGAGTCTAAACATCTAAACCAGCTTTCTTAGCTCAACTCGTATTTAGTAAAAGGGGTTAGATGAGCTTACATTGGCAGGCAGAATGAGGCTCAGACCTATAGATGACTAGAGACAATGGAAAGGGAGCAGTGATGACTTTTAGTGGCTTGCTTAATCTCCGAGGAAAATAATGCATGAATTTGGAGTAAATCCATCAGAATAAAGCTTTTCAGACCAACTTCGAATGTTGGTTGACATAAATGAGCTGAAACCCATCAGCTACTGCGGAATAACCGCATAATCTTCGCAAGTTGGCAATAAGCAGTCAGTAGTATACAAAAGCGTCCTGCAGTGACACAAGGTCGGTGAAACAGGTGTGCCAGGACTTTGAGATAGTGGTACGGCAAATAACTAGTGTTTAGTTTGTTGTACGTCTGTAGTTCCTCCAATGCTTGCTTACTTTAAAAGTTCTGAGTTAAATTTGTTTAATTTTGACTCTAAATTTATTACGGGGTCTTTTTTCCGACGTGTCCTTATGAAAATGCCGCTGTTCTACTGAAAAAGCTTAAATAATCGTGTTTTGTTTGTTTTTGAGGGGATGGATAACCGCTATTGTTGCCCGCGCTGCTAACTTTAAACAAATGCGCTTATTGTCTAGCAATACTCCTTCCAAAAATAAGCGTCACATTCGGGCGAATAGAGGGAAACAAGATTGGGGTGTCTAGTCATTTTTTTTCAAAAAAAGAGGGCATTAGTTGCCTCTAGACGCGCACGCACAAATAGATGTCCAGGTAAAGAAGTAGGAAGCAACAAGTGAAGGGTACCCAAACCTACATAATGTCCGTTTCCTGTATCGTCAGCGGTAAAAGCTCCTTGTCAATAAAGGCCAGGGTCGGGTAGTACCAAATAGTTAATTTGTCGTTCTGAGCAGCCGCCAAAAAGTTGTCGGTCTCGGACCACAAGAAGGTTGACACCATACTGCCTAAAAGTGCAGTAAATTGAATACTTTTCCTACCATCAACTGACCAACGTTCGCAACCGTGATAGTTGCATGTCCATCAAAAGCGCATCATAGAAATTGAATAAAGGGAAAGGCAAGTCTACATAGTTCAAAGTAATGGTTACACGTTTAGGTTCCTAGTAAATAAAAACTCGAATGCGCTCCTATTTATGGGGCGTACTACAGAAGTTAACGGTTATAATTTTGTTGTAATTATGGCTCTGAAACTCTGCATCCCTTTCTAAGGTGATCTTGAAAGCCTTTTACACAGCATTGATTTAAAAAACTTTCTAGGAATTCCACCTGTCTTGCACTCCGCCAAAAATGCAACTGTTGGATGGTTTCTTTTGATCGTTGCCGTAGTCCACACGCTTGCTTACGGTATAGTATGGTTCGATTAGAATTCAAAGGGCTGTTCGCCAATAATTAAACCCAATTCTAATTATAAGTTTGGGAGGAATTAATCACTGCAGGTTCAACAAATGGTGTCGTGGTAAGATATATATCTGAGAATTATCGGCCGGTATCAGAAGAATATGCCAGGTCCGCGTTCGAATTTGCTTGTTCGACAGGATATCCGCTGGCACTGTGCATAAGTTAGGACATAATTAGTAACAGTAATCAATTGTCATAAAATTTTTGAAGTCAAATCGGTATACACAGACGCCGAAATCTTGACCACCATACGGGCTGGTGACGTCCACATCTAAAGGACCGTTATATAAAAAACTTAGAATCGTTCGGATCTTTCTGTGATAGCCTTGACAGGAGTTATGCAACCAAAGAAAGTTTTAAGTGTCAGCAGCACCCCCGGCGGCCACTTCGGAAGAATAACATCCAATCATTTTAATGGGGGATTTCATCAATACGATTGCGCAAAACCTGCATTGAATAATTAAGTTATTTCGAAGCCACTTCGTGAGTTGAAACCGGTTAAAATAATCAAGTCCAGAAAAGTTAAACATTTCCTTTTAGTAGAAAATATTGGCGTTCCATTAACAGTATACTTTATATGCCCAAAAATATAAATCACAGTTGTAACGTCCAACGTGTCAAACGCATTTTCCAAATGACATTTATACAGTGACATTCAAAACAAAAATACTCACATAGTTTTGTTACAGCTCTACCGCGACCGTAGATTCGAACTTGATAGAGAAAGAGGTCCTTATTTTTATCAAGCAGGACGAGACGACGATCGACAGCCGCGCCTTTCTGATTGAGTCCGAGAGAAAGCACCTCTGCCTGAAAAGGCAACAAGTATTTTAATTTGATAAAGGTGAACATATGCTCTACAGGTAGCGCGACCGAAGAGGAGAATACAAGCACTAGCACTCATGAACAGATTGGTAATGGGAACCATCATAATTAGAGGCCGACACACCTTGAAACTCACGGAGTTAACCAGTAAATACCCACATGTAGCGTGCTCTTATTTGACCAATCAGATACTTTCGAGGCCTACTGTCTTGCGGTCTCACAAATAAAACCCGTGATATCGGTCCCACAAAAAACAATTCAGTTATCAGAAGAATTCCCAAAACTACTAAACTCGAACTAATTTAGTCAAGCTCCCCTCTTCACCTAAATACCACAGGCGATGATGACTGTTGTTACGACAAAGACTGCAAGTTTGTAATTCAGGACACCAAGGACCACTTAAGACAGTGCATCATGATCTTATTAATATTCTATGGGTTCGCATATGAGCATATTTACGCTCACCAAATAGATCTCCAGCTATCCAGACCGAGGGGGTCAGTCCTTCAAACTATCGAGGTACACATGCTTCCATACGTTCCAGTCTAAGGTTCGTGGGCAGCATAAATTATTGCTTAAAAGGAGATGCAGATCTAATGCAAAGAATATGCAAGTCTGTTGGAAGGGCCCTGTGTCTAAAGAAAGCTACAAACGATGCGCATTCGTAAGTTACCAAATTCGGTGCATATCTAAGAAAAACTGCTAAAATTATACGCATAGAAGTAGTCTGACGAAAAGTGGAACAAATGGGCAGTAGAAACTGTAATCTCCTATGAGGCTTCAGGAAGATTGATTGTGCTTAGTTAGCAGTTAGCAGCTCCAGGAAATCAATAGATACGCTAGAAAAATGAAAAGTATCTTTATTACTTAACACAATTAAAAAGCAACTTGTGAATTAGGGGTAAGACTGCTGTTTAAGTCACAAAGGACCTCAAAATGCCTACCGAATGTACGATCGGTTTTCCGTCTCCAATCGGCTTAGCAGGGGCGACCTCATACAAATTGACAACTAAAATGCATGAGGTTATGCACATCAATCAGAAAGTTATGTATATCTGCGATTGAAAATTATACATACAGACACTTTAAGGCACTCGAACAGTTAGCTATGGTGCTGAGGACGTATTCGTGTACTCATTATAGCTTACGGTTTCGTCGTCTCTGGACTCAAATGTAACGTCCTCTAGCATGTAATTCACAAGCTGCTATTTGAATTGCGTCGTCAAACGAGCTTATGTTAGTACAATAAACCTGCTGACTATTTCTGCATTCCCGATCAACCAAACGTCCGCACTTAGGAGGTAAACAAATAACAACAGAGTTCGCTCTTTAATACGTAGAATCTAATAGTGACGGTACCTCAAAGTTGTGTTATGACAGGTTTCAGTAATATGAGATATTAGTGGACAGAATCCGCATGGATGTGGAATGCGTAAACAAAAGCTACTGCTTCCACATTCACCCTGGTCATTCTCAAGGTGCTTGAGCTGAGCCACTGCTTAGCTATCTCCAAATATAGTCGAACTCTCATACAAGACACTATTGCTACCCAGGGTAGTGGAGGCTCATCTTTGGTTAACGGCAGATGAACTACCCTTTGTTATTTTAATTTTGTTTCAAACTGTGGTTTTTAAGTGCCCGGCATATCAACACCAGAGAGGGACGACCGTGCTGATAACTTCCATAACCAAAAGTATGGAAACCGTCCTTCCTAGCAGCTGAAAAAAAACAGTGAAAAAAGCTAAATAAGTTCTGACCCCGGACTCCATAGAATCCATCGTCTCCAGAAAGAGAACAGGGGTTTCTGCCGATTCACAAGCATCCATACTCACGACAGCATTTGCCGACAAAATTCAAATTTTTAGTCACTGGTCAGTTAATGGAATGTTGAGATACCCGTTGATGAGCCAACCCCTTCGCAGCTCTGACATGCAGCGGCAGAATATTGACGATGCACGTGTGTCTGGACTTTTAGTTAGCACATGTGCTGTCAGTATGGTGTATTGGGTGACCCCAGTAGTCAGTTCCTCGGCATATATCGTATACACAATCGCTGGGCATGCCTTAATCTGTTCTCATACACACACGGCATTTTACCGAGTTTAAAAACCTGCTGGCCGTCGGGCACCACAAGCCGTCGCCACCGGCCCAGGGGACCATTCCAGCTCCCCTGACCCATGCGGGTAGGCAAACCACGAGTGTTAAACCATGTAACACTGTTAAAAATAGGTCTTTATTTCGTCTGGGCGAAAGAAAGAAACGCTGAAGAATACCTTTTTCGTCCTCGGTGTCCCTGACAGCCATTGTCTCACCACTTAGAGCCACGATTCCGGGGTAGATTGCTTCTGTCTTTAACGAAGGTACCTTTAGAGATGAGATGAAACGTCCCTCATAGTTGTATAGGAAGAAGCCCCCAGAATCAACGAGCAGGAATAAGCTGACAGCCAAAAGAATAAGTGTGATTTAGCTACACGCCGCTTGTAACACAAGATACAGATAGTGGGTGATGAAGATGCAAGACAACTTGTAGGTTGTGTGTGTGTTAGCATAACTTACTCCTGAGCCTGAAGAATCAGAAGCACATTATTGTCCTTTAATTCTGTTATTGAGGGGGTGTTGAAGTTTTTCACACTAGGAAAAGAAAAAAAGTGCTGTTTCATCCACTGTTCACGTATAATTTTGATATTTACATGATTAGTCAGTAATTCCAGGTAAATTCGAAAGCGCAAATCGTCAAAATTCCTGACCCGAGATTTAATGCACAGCACTTTAGAATTAAATGATTACCTCATCAATTTGCGTCAGCTAAAAAAAATAGGAATAAGAACGTTTATCCCATAAAGATAAATTAACTATGTTGTCGACTCACAGATCTGTCTTATTGAGCGATACATTTTCGTAAGTAGAACCCACGCAATGAGCTACAGACTATGTGTACCTTCCAGGGATACCTAAATGTTAATGGAAGAGTCGGCATTCTTAGGTATGAGGAATCCGCTAGCACATATACCATGATTAGAGTCAACTCCTGCGAAGATATTTTCACATAAAACGTAAGTCCTACGTACGGTCTGTTTATATTTATATAATTTCTTTCTATTAGAGGCCGTTCGGGAACCAAAAAGCATTAAAAGTTACCTGAAACTCAGTAAAGAGTTTCCATGCGCTTTTTAATAAAGACCAAATAAAATTTTTAGCAACAGTATCAGCCACTTTAGCAGGGACGCTTCGAAATGGCGGATTAATCGCCTCATTTCCTGCAATGGTAGTAAATTAGCCCTTGCGCATTTTTAACAACGTGCTTAAGAAACGGTTAGGATGACTTTTGTGGCCGCTTAAATAGGACACGGGGACAGGAACTGCCCACAATACATGTAGCTTTACGCCAAATTCTAGGGAACTTCGATTTTAAATCAATGTGATTTCTAGGAGGGAGTTAAGGGTTAGGTGTAGGGTTGGGATTAAGATCAAAGCTGGGGTTAGGATCAGGATTATGTTAATAGTTTAATTTCGGGTTTGTGTTAACTGTAGGTGTTAGATTTAGGGTAGTGTATGGGTTAAGATAAAGGTTACAGCCTAGTTTAATGTTGGGAGCAGTGTTAGGGTTAGGACGCGGGAATATTTATTCTTCCTGAAATGTATTGCAAGGCCACATAGTTTAAGATAGCAGAGCGTTCCTGTTCCCGTGTCCTGTTTAAGCGGTCATACAACTCATCTTTTCTACAAATCTTAAATTTAAACCACAGCTTTCGAATTGCCAGAAAAAAAAGAGACGATCTTGTAAATGCCATAGGTGAATTCTAGACATGAACTTTTCAACCGCACGCTCATAAGACTACACAATTGCTCAGCGACTACCATTAAACTTTTCTATAACCAAGTTTACGTAGTTCTGTCAAAAAACGTCCTTTGTGTTAAATGTTACCTTAAAATATACGTTTTAATTTAATCGTCCGGGTGTCAAGTTTAATTATGGTATTTTTTTAAGTATTTATTTTTACGAGTCCACCACGTCTGGTGAACGCGTACAGGGAGCAGACTCACCTGTAAATGTAGCACTGTAGTGTAGTGATCGCGATGAGGTGTCCATACCCGACAGACATTTTCACCACACGGTCGCGGAATTCCAGTTTTTCAACCGCTCCGTCATTGACGTTGAAGGTTGTAATAAGCCTTTCATCTTGAACAGTCGCTTCAAGGCCCTCCCATTCCATCGACTGATCGACAATCTTTGCGAAGATTACTTGGCCGTTTGCGCCCGCGGCAGCCACTTGTGTGCCATCGGCTGACCAGGCCAAACTGAGTATGCTGCCGGTTATTGGCTTTTCAAGTGTGTGGAACCACTGAAGATGAAATGAAAATATGTATTAGTTGTTGCGGGCCAAAGGATGCTCATCAGTCCATATTTCGTTGACAAAGGCCCTTGAAAACTCAATTTCAACAAAGTCAAGTTGCCTATGCTTTATTAGTAAAATTGCCAGTGGAAATTCGTAAGACTGATAGTAAATAGGAATGGTAAAATGAGGTGAAACAAGGTACTAAGATATTAATAGCAAACAACATATTCGCAGCACTTGAACTCGGAATGTCCTGCAGAGTATTAAACTTCAAGTAAACAAAATGACTGATTTAAATCAAGCTAGTAGTATACTTAAAGGTATAATAGTGGATACCCGTGTCTCCTACTGCTCTCTGCTTATGTCTCTGATGATGAATCCGCGACGGATCTCGAATCCCTCGCTATACCCACTGTCGCGTAAGGTAGAACACAATACGATGGTTAAGGAT